CTATTACAGTTCGACTGCGCATGGAATTCAAACATTCCAAATGTAATACATACACCATACTAAGATTATAACTTTATGCTAACACTAGTCAGCTTGATGATACTGTTCCTGCTTGCTGAAATTCATCGGTCGAAGGATGCTTTGCCATGTCCTGATCTAACTGTATCAGTTTCTGTATAAGTTCATCTACACATTGCATTTCTTTTGCTTCCACCAGTGAAAATTCTTGCACAAAATAAACGAAATGGAGAAATAGGGAGTTTAATCCATCATGTAAATCCAATGCACGGATATCATGGAAATGGTGATGGTATATATGGGCTAGAATAGCAAAGTAAGTTCGAAATATTCTTCTTACAATTGGAATAAAATCCACGGGGAATTCATAACCTACAGAAAAGAACAACCTTGGTTCAAATGACGTAATTATGTCAGAAATCGAAATTTGGAGATGTCAACATGAAATCACACTTTTCAATTTGAAAGTGGGAGGCATGCACTAGAGTGTATCTTAGAGCTCCAAGTGGCACTTAAAACTTTGTTCAACTCCCTGATTTATCATGTAATACAACGATAATGCAGAAACATCTTAGAAAGAGCTTTCCTACAACTAACGTGCTGGACTTTATTTGCAGAGGGGTGGTCACTCTCATCAAAGTACAGTAGTACATAGTACATGGGATGAAACAGATTATTAAGCATTGTAGCCTGATGTAGCCTTAGGTCCAATAAAAACCTCACGTAAGTGCAAACCCCCAGAAACACTGGTGTTGGTTACCCAGTAGCATGGCTTTTTGTATTTTCAAGCTGTAAGTCCTGACTATTGACTTCACCTACGCAACAATATGGGGATTGTGTCATGGGGTCGTGGGTGTCAGCGTGCTCAAATCTGTTCATTAACCATCAGACAAAATCTGACACTAGGTGTACTTCATCCTCTGTTACGTATGTTGCATATTGAGCAGAGCCTGTGGTTAACAGGGAGGGCTGCATGTTTATGGTATCGACCAGTTTCAATTGCCAACTTATGGCAGCTGACTCGCAGTTTGTTAGAGGCATTCGGATGTTTGTTTGGTATCTGATGTAAAAGGTAGTTCTTACGCTGGAAGATTTCCTTGGACAATTTGTACGTTCTCAGTTGGGCTATAATAGTATGCATTTACTCGTGGTCTCCCGCTAGTACCTCACGGAGAGTCTGACTGGGCTAGCTACAGTAGTAGATGGCATGCGGGAGTTGATACATGTTGTTTGATGCGACTTCTTGTGCCTTCAACATCCACAGAACAAGCGCACCCGGTCTGTCACGCCATCAATGATCCCCCGCCAAAACTGGTCCCCCCAAAACATCCGTGGCAGCCGTAATTGGTCCCCCCTGCTACATACGGTTACCCACCCAAAATATATACAAGTAGCAAGCGAACCCGTGTGTCCTTTATATATCTTAACATCTTTGAGCCATGTCACAATGTGGTTCCGACGGTAACTGTTCCTCTTCTCGCTGCTGCATTCACGTCGTTTCCCACGCGCGTTACTCTACTGGGCACCCTGTTCTGGACATTATGAGCGTCCTGAAGGGATAAGCGGAGAAGAGAAGGCGTCTTTAGCACATCAACACACTGAGCTGCTCCAATAAGCATCCTAGCCTGCTTCCACCTATGAATGTAGCCCCTCAAATGTGCCCGATCACTAAAGTTGATCAAGTAATCTTCTTCAAGAGAAAACAAGTGATCGAGGTATGCTCCATACCTAGTATCTACTACACGTTGCAGAGCCTTTCTTTTGGGGGAGACCTAACGGCTACCCTGCAATCTAATTGGTATGTTTCCACCAGTTGAAAGCTCCCATACTTCTTTTTAAGTACTATTCGTGGCTTTTCTTGGGTGACTTTGCATTCAGGTAAGCTTCACCAACGTATCTTGCAAATCCGTGCAAAGTTGGCGAGTACAGGCATCTTTGTTAGCGTACCTCAAGCCGATGAGCATAGCACGGCATCCAATAGACCCACTGGAATTCCTTACAAAGCTTCCCTCTCATCCCGTTTTGGCCAGATATGTTAGCAGAGGCCCAATCTGTCCCACCCCCCACAAGAATTTGTTTACCCTCAGCTGCTACACCTAAAACTCCCCACCCTCTATAGAATAGGACTTATACCAAATGACGGTTAACGAGCCGGCCACTATGCATGCATGCGCCTTGGTGATAGAGCACGTGGTCGGGGCATTTTGCCAGTTTGCTCGTCGCCGGGTGGAAACTCCTCTCTTGCGTGCTCGTTTTTCATTTTTTCCCTTCTCTATCCCTTCGGGGGTGTGATCAGGACTGGGTTGGGGCAGGGGTGGAGCCGGAAATTGAATGACTCCACCTCCAGGAAGAGGGAAATCCCCATTGCCACACCCCTCTCGAGCAGCAGAGCCCAGTCCCTTTGGCCAGCATCCCTAATGAGGGCATAGGCACTTATGCTAAGGGATGAATGGAGTTGGGTGGGGGCTGGGTTATCTTATTGGCGGAAGTGACTCTAAAGCCTTTCCCAAAGCGTTATAAGCCCATCAGCATCTGCCTATTGGCAAACCTCAAGACCATGTGCAAGACCTACTTCCTTCATCTTTCAAACAATACTGAACTAAGACTAACTCATCCTTGACATTTCCAGAATCAGTAGAGCAAAAAGCTATAACTATGCCTCTTACTTTAAGGTAGTGAGAAAACATTTTGCAGAGTCCGATGTCTACACCATGTCATTCCTCGTAACACAGCATATTTGTGGTAAGGTCATCCTTATACATAACATCTTTACTCTCCCATTCACTGTAGCTTCCATCGATGTGAAACTGTGCACTAAGGTTAAATAGGAGGATTTGTTGGTGAGAAGCTTTGGCTGCTTGGATCACATTTGCACGATGTTGCTCGCTTTTGTGATGCTGGTTTTATAGTTGTTAAATTTCGGCGCACTTGCACAGCAAGAGTTACAGTATTATGTCTCTGTGTGTGTCTGTTCCCACGTTTTCTGCCACTAGGTGCAATAAGAACGCCAGAAAGTTTTGCAAACAGGTTCGGCACTACATTGGCCTGATTTTAAAACTGGCAATTGTCGCAAACCATGCGTACATTGACAGCCTAACCCAGCCCATCAAGTAGCCACCCACGCAGGCATATAGGTGTTGCAATGTTCACACGCTCGCATTTTATGACCGGAGGGTTTGCAGATTCAGATTCAGCAATTCAGACACAAGAAAAATTAAGCCTGTTAGGCACTTCTCAAGCTTTCACTCTATTGCATTAAGGCCTGGGTACACACCTGAAGACCATGATGCAGAAATTTTGTCATAAAACTCAAGGATAAACCTCTATAATATATTAAACTTTGTATGCAACAATCACAGGACCCAATTGGCCATGCCCACTTGTATTTATCATAATTAATATGAATTTTTATTACGTTTGCCGTTAGGCGGTGGGTTTAGTGGCGTTTAATGGCAATTAGACGAAGTTAATGGGGTGACAGGGTGAAGAGGGCTGCATGCAGGGGAGCCCCTCCCCTCTTATGGCGAGGCATGTGCAATAGGCAGTGCGCATTGCCACGTGGCATTTTTGGTATTGCAAACCAACAGCGGCTGGCAAGGCAAGGCATTGGCTCTATATCTCCCTGCTTGCTCCTGGCTGTATGTCTCCTGCTCTCTCAGCATTGCTCTGATGGCGGATGACAGCAGTTCTGGTACACCACCTGGCACGGAGGACGCGGCCACGCTCTCCGAAGCAGCCTTACGCGACATCGTCCGCCGAGAGGTCTCGGCAGCAGTGCCAGAAGCCCTCAGAAGTGGCCCATCGCCTGGTGGCCTCCCAATAGCAGGTCAGTGGCAATATTATAGTGGCATATCGCAGGTGTTCATCCGTGGGTAGTGCGGGGCGGCATAACAGGCCTCCCCCCATTTCGAGCCAGCGGTAGATAAACCAAGTGCTTCTATCTGCTAGGCTCATCCGGCTTGGCATCAGGCATTGCGGCCGCTACTCTTCCGTCCTCCATGGCATCCATCCCACTATTCCCTGCGGCTTCCTCAGGCAGCTCACTTACGGTGCCTTCCACAGCTTACAGTCTCCCCATCACGTCCAGCCTGCTGCCGGCTACATCACCTTCCAGCACGCCCCGTGGCAAACCAAAACCTCCCCCGTTAAAGGTCGCTAGCCCCAAGACGAGAACGAGAGATTGTTGGTTGTTATCTTTCGCGACGTACGTGGCCATCGTGAGCCAGGTGCACCCAGAAAGAGTGGGCGACATGCTAGCCTATATGTACCTTATAGTGCGTGAGGCTAGCAAATTCGGCGGGAACGGCTGGCTGACTTACGATTCCGTCTTCCGCCGGAACCCGACAGGCTCCTCTTCCCCGTGGAACTCGCTGGACGCATCGTTGCACAAGGTATACACCGCCAATCAGCCAGGCAAAATGTGCCCCCCTGCAAGCACTGCCACGAGGTCGACCATCAAGAGGCAGACTGTGAAGTGGCCTCTGTCCTACCGCAGTCGCGCCGCCAATCGGCTGAACCCGGGCCGGAGATCGTCCCTCCCCTGGGAATGGGAAAACGCCCCCTTTATCTTAACCGCCAACTACAGATTTGCTACTCGTGGAATGCCGGAAATTGCAAGTTTCCTGGGAAGTGTGCATACGCGCACGTCTGCTCGCTGTGCTATGGGTCCCATCCGAAGTCGGCCTGCAGGGACCCAGCAGTCGCTCCTCCTCCGAAACGCCCGGCTGCCTCCACAGGGGACCTGAGGCGGGGAGTTTTGACTCTCAGGGCATCTCTGTGATCAAAACGTTATAGCCATTATTGGGTGGTTCCACATTGGTATATTGTCTCTCACATGTCAGTAGCAGGTGCAAGACGCGGAACAACGTTATTAGCCCTGCAGTGCGCAGCGCGGGAAGCGGGGTTACGTTCCCCACGGTTGATGTCTCCCCCCCCTGTCTCCCTCTCACTCTCTCGTTTAGATCCCCAGATTCTCAGGCTGAGCAACTTCTCTCAGGGCTCCTACAGATTCACAGCGGATTTACTCTCCCTTGAGGTGGCAATTTCAGCCGTCCCGTGTGGGGCTTTTTTTCCCCCCTCTCAACCTAGCCGCCTGAGAGGCGGCCTAGCCCTAACCCTAGCCCTAGCCTCCTCTCAATCCCTGATATACAATTCACCCAATTCCTGCTGCGGGGCATAGCTACTGGTTTTGGGATTGGATATTTAGGCATGGCTCACAGCTGAAACCAATCTGAAGTCAGCTTGCGGCCAGCTTCAGGTGATATCCGATTACCTCAAACGGGAGGTTCAGCTGGGCCGCCTTCAGGTCGTCCCCACTCCAAAGGGGCCTGCCCCACCACCCCTGCAGGTTAGCCCTTTTGGAGCCATTCCTAAGAAGCATAAACCCAACAAATGGCGCCTCATCGTCGATCTCTCATCGCCCTGAGGCCAGAGTGTCAATGACGCCATCCCAGCAGACCTCTGCTCTGTATCGTACACAGATGTGGACGACGCAGTAAGTATGATGCAGAAACTCGGCGACGGATGCCTTATGGCGAAAGTAGACATCCAGGAGGCTTACAGAGCAGTCGCTGTCCACCCGTCAGACCAGCGGTTTCTGGGATTGTCTTGGAAGGCACCTTCTTCATCGACAAGGTGCTCCCTTTTGGCTTACGCACAGCTCCCAAACTATTCTCTGCCTTGGCAGACGCAATGATGTGGATGCTACACCACAGAGGAGTGGTTAATACAATTCACTACCTGGACGACTTCCTCCTCCTGGGCTTTCCAACCTGCAGCCAAGCCCTCTCATCGACCCTAGGCTTATGCGCATAGCTTGGTTTTTCAGTCGCCCCGGAGGACCGTGTTCCACCTTAACCTTTCTAGGCGTTGAGATAGATTCGGTGGCAGGCGAGATCCGTCTACCCCAAGAGAAACTCTCTCGACTCTTGGCCACACTCCAGCTGTGGATGTCCCAGTCTGATACAGCGAGGCCGAGGACCTCAGGAAAGAAGAGGGAGCTCCTTTAACTCATTGGCCAACTTGCTCAAGCGGCTAAAGTAGTTCGCCCGGGCAGGCCTTTCTTGCGTGGCCTAATTGACGCACCCTCCTCGGTCAAGGAGCTAGGGCGCTTGGTGCACCTGAACAGTGCAGCAAGGGCCGACCTAGCCTGGTGGCACACGTTCCTTAGAACATGGAATGGTATATGCGTTGTACCCCCCACGGGTGTGCCACTAACGTTAGCATCAGGCTCCTGGGGCTGCGGAGCATTGCATTAGGACGGCGCTGATCCGAAAGCTGTGGCCATTGAACTTTGCTTCTGGAAGCCCGACCGCATGGAGACCCTGCTTTAGGTGATGTACCAGGTACGCTCGAGATAGTGGTTTCCCCGACTGCAGCATAAACAAGGGGCCGGGAGTTGGAGGCTGTATGCCAATGTAGTTGATAATCGCTGTTCTGGGGCAGATAGCAGTGTTCGTGCGCTTGGCGAAAATGGTCAGTTTCGCTCTGCTTGATGTAGATGCAGACTGCAAGGCAAGTATAAGCACAACTGGGCCCCACAAGAATGCAGCTTTAATGGCAGGCCATGGCAAGCTGGTGTGAGCCCTATATGGGGCTGCAATAATGGAGAGACATCGACCCCCGCAGGCCCCTGCTGAAGTGGCTGTCGGAAACAGTGGAAGGTGTTGGTGAATAGAGAGTTTAGTCATGGGACAAGCTGTGATACAGCTCTTTGGGATGTAGACTCAGCCGGAGCGGCTGAAAGTCCCATGCCTTAGAGATAAGAGTCACAAATGGGGGTGTGGTGCAGGGATCTAGGTCAAAGGTCAAGTGCTTAATGACTAGGCAACGCCGATAAGGGTAGGCGGGCTTATAAATACCCTTTCAGCCTTGGTAATAATAACAGGGGGTGTACGTACCCCGCAAGTAGTTATGACCCTTGCAAACGATACCTCCAAAACCAACCTCATCAGTACTGATGAAAGGTTGAGCATAATAGGTTTTTATGTCACTTCATTAACAGCTGTGATTAAGGAATAAATTCGACATGCAAGAAAAGTAAGTACGCTTATCAATATTGTATTCTTCATGCGAGAAAAAATCCACTGCTTACTTACCGTGCGATGGGCGGGAGAACATTGGGATAGGCAAAATTAGGGCGCTTTTGCGGACAAACGGTGGGATTACTTGCGTCAGATATCTTCTTTAGTCTCTCGCATGAGTATACACCCTTGCTGATATTGCATCAGCACTTTTCTGGCCTTTTACGATCAAAAAACCAAGGGGAACACTGTCGCCCAGCGTCAAAACAGCACGTCCCCGCCAAGAAAAGTACCTGGGTTGGTCTATATGTTCCTGTCCTCAAACCGACCAGCAGATTACGTAATTTTTAGTAAATCTGATTGGAGAATTTGTGCATGACCGCGGTAAACGTACAAAATCCGATTCCGCGCATGTCAAGTACACAAATTATACGTGGGCGTGGTCACGCAGCGCACACTCCACGCGTTGGACAGGCCTTAATTCAGCTGAGCAACCAGCGTCATGTCAGTCAACATCGCATCACAGCCATGAAAGTGTACGCTGCTCGCACTCGTAAAAATAACGACGGTTACTTGCCTTTTGCAGCCTAGCCCAGCCAGCCACCCACGCAGGCACATAGGTGTTGCAATGTTCACACACACGCATTTTATGACCGGAGGGTTTGCACTTTAGTGCTTATCGTTAGATTCAGCAATTCAGACACAAGAAAAAGTTACGTATTAAGCATGCTAGGTTTTTCTAAGCTTTCGACATGCATAATCTCAACCAGCGACTTGTCATGTAGAAAAAAACTATGTGATGCCAAGAGAAAAAAGATGCGGAGCTCTGGACAGCTGTTTCATGTCAGTCAACATCGCACCACAGCCATGAAAGCGTACGCTGCTCGTGCTCGTAAAAGTAACAACGGTTACTTGCCTTTCGCTTTTTTAGGGTCGGAGCCTGTTGTTTTTGGCAAGCCATCATGTCCAAGCTAGGCAAGCGACAGCGAACTGCGTAAAAAAGACATCCATCGCACAGCAGAATTGGTAGGAAATCAGCGACTGGGCTAACTGCATAACGGTTGGTTGTTCCTTATTTTGGCGTGGAAGATTGCCGATGGCCGGTGCTTAAGCCCAACATACACAGCGCAACTTTGGCGCAACTTTTGTTGCAACTTGTATGCAACTTTGATGCAACAACATTTTGCAAAATAGCTGATTAGTCCATGAGTGGAGTTTTGGTAGCTGTAATACTGAGGAGAAGGCAGAGAAAGGAGAGTATGGGTTAGGGAATGGGTCAGGAATAGACAACAGCATGGAGCCTAATGCAAGAGCTACTTCTTGCTGACAGAGCAACGTTCAACTTCTTGTGAATAGAGGTGTAAGACCTTCAGATCTTGCGACCCCTGATCACCTACCAAGATACAAACATGCGACAGGCCATTTCTGCAGGAGAGAGATTAGCTCTTACGCTGCACTTCTTAGCTACAGGTACAGTTTGATGCATACACTGTGTTGCTAGGTTACTCAGTGCATTAACATTATTATATTCATACAGGGGAAACCTATTTCAGCTTGCAGTACTTGTACAGGATCCTGCCCAAAGGTCTTGTGCCAGAGACATGTGAATCTATCACTGATGTGTTGGAACAATATTTACAGGTGACATGATAATATTTAGAGCAATGGCTCAGTGTCAAGCGGGGTTGTCTATGGTGGCATGGAACTGTGAACATTAAATATCCTAGTAGTTCCTGCTGTCAGGCACACTGGTTGGGAAATGGGGTGTCCTGGTGTTGGTAGAGACCCAGGTAAGTCAGCAGAATATAGTAATGACTGTTTGTTTAAATATCAACCTTTTCCATTTGTCGTCCTGGATGCTCCTCAACTCTGCAGCAACATAATTATTCCCCAAATATTTCGTCATCATCTGCTTTTTTGCATCTTTTTTGTGATTCCATGCATACTAGTGTCTTTTGCAGCAGCTCATCTCCCTGCGTTTCTCTCTTGGCACTTACTACACTTTGGTTTAACGTCATCTTTTGTAGTAGGCTGTTTTGTTCATTGTGATAGATCATCAACAACCCCATTCTCCGAAACTACTGATTCATTTCAATATCATATTCTATCCGTATGGAAAATGTTTATCATTAAAAAATAGGTACCAAGGACAGAACTGAATGGAAGCTGCCAAGCAATTGGAACTTTCCACATTGTATTGGTGCTATGGATGGAAAACATATCCCTTCCCCAAAATTCTGGTTCCTTCTATTTTAAGTATAAGCATAGATTTAGCATTGTGCTATTAGCTGTGGTGGATGCTGACTACTAGTTTCTCTACATCGACATAGGGTGCATTGGCAGAGTTTCTGATGGAGGTGTATTTAGAAACAGTGCAGTCAATGCTGCACTGTAAAACAAGATCATCATCTGCTGCCGTACATTTCAGTGGCTGATGATGCATTCCCACTGAAAGACTATATTCAAAAGTCGTATGGTCAAGTGGGACTGACAAAAGAAATGAGGATCTTCAACTACAGGCAAAGTCGAGCACGTCATATTGTAGAGAATGCAGTTGGGATTTTGGCGAACAGATTTAGAGTGTTTATGACACCAATTGGCTTAGCACCAGAGAAAGTCAAAGCAATTGTGTTGGCATGACATAACTATCTCAGTTCAGGTAAATCTAGTTCCTGTGTGCTCCAGTGGTGGACACTGAAGACACAAAAACCGATGCAATATCTCCTTGGGACTGGTGCAAAGAATCAGAGCCACAAACGGCTCTATTCTGGATACCCATCGCCTAATGCAAGAGTTGCTGGAGTCACCCACCGCCACTTGCGGGGGTACGTACACCCCCTGTTATTATTACCAAGTGCTGACGAGAATTTAACAGAATGCAAGCATTCTACATAGAGGAGAACTTGTGAATATACACATTGCAAAGTGGACAGCACTGTTACACACATGCACATATTGTCAGACTACTTGATGGGGTTGCTTCACTTGCCGAACACAAAGTGGATTTCAGATAAACATACCAAATTTTGTCGGAAACAAACTCTCATCCTGTAGTTGCTTTTGGATGTATGTCAATGCAGTGTCTATAAACTGACGAGCTGGTAACTTGGTCAATCTCTTCCCGCCTCTTCGTTCATCAAGCCAATCAAAAGCCCTAATAGTTACAACAAAAACAATGCTATCATGACGACAGTTGGTGTTCGTCTCTGCCTTGCAAAAATCACTCATGAGATATAGCAACTAGGCAAAGGCAAAAGCAAAGAATACAGTTCAACGTCACCCAGGACATAAAAGAGTTTCTGTGGGAAGGACTCGAACATATGACACTCTTTAGTGTAGGTAGAGTGATCTCCACACTAAGTTACCAGGGTAGTCCAACAGGCAGGATTCAACATAGTTAATTAACGTAGCGTACACAATGTTTTAGTCTAGAGATACTGTGTTCTCTTTCAAAACAAAATAACACAAGGGAAAAAATATGTGGGATTCATAACTCAACATAAGAATGGGCCAGCACAATAAAACAACAAAGTTGCTTCGAGCATCAATCGTAAGCGATACACTAAAGCAAAGCAAGCGCAAAGCAAATAATTTAGCGACACACGAAGGACAAAACTTATTCAAAGACGCCTAATTGGACTCGAACCAATGACACTCTCGCAGTATACTTTTCCAACTGACCTGTACAGCAAGCAGGCTAAAAAACAACACAAAATATTGAAAAACAAGCCGAAAGTTACTACGTGAAGAGATTCCCCCATCCAATTAGCGCATATCACCAAACTTCCAGTGAGTTATTCCTGCTTTTTTTGCGAGAAATGAGCGTCCTCAGGTTGCAGCAGTTCTATAGACTTATCCATGGAGTCTTGATAGAATGAATTCAAAGTTGCTGCACCCTCTTCCTCTCAGCTATGGCATAATGGTCACAGGGGTTACGACTTTATTGGATAGCAGGCAATATTTCATGGAGCACAGGTATCGATATTGCTCTGTACACATGATATCCTCTAAGGCTGTGTGGTGCATCAGGGCTCCATGGCAACAAGCATGCATGCCACAAGATGTAAGTAATGTGTGTGCTGAGATCCCCATGCTGATCATGGAGTACGCCAGTCTGGTCTGTCCATGCTTGTGCAATTAGTGATGGTAGTCTTAAGTTTAATGTAATGGTCATTGTGCACTAGTCATGCCACCCTATAAAGAGCATCATCAGTCAGTCTAAATGTTTGTCTTCATAATGCCCTAAGTGTACGACTAGTTTTGGAAATACAATACTCTTCAGCAACCTGCGATATGCAATCAGCACAGACCTGGAGTTTTGACAGGCCACATAAGAAACACTTGCAAAACCAGTAGTAGCCATGGAATGAAAGAAGCGACAGTCAGAATGTAGAGTCGACAATCACCTGAGTAGAGCTAGCTAGAGACGCTATACGCACACTGCTTAGGACAAGAGGATCTTGCAACCACAGCTTTAGATTGAATGGGCTTAAACAAGTCGTGGCAAGCCAACGGATTACGTCTATTGGCTTTTTCACTCACACTCATTTCTGAAAAATGGCCTTTGTACAATTCATGCTATGCATGCGCTGCTCTGGATGTGTGGTCCATCCGAAACATCTATGCCCTCGTTGCTCAGAAGCTGTTTGTATTGTTCATTGGTCACATTGTAGCTTGTAGTACCAGAATAGTGTTACCAGACAGACAGACAGACAGACAGACTAACACACACTCTTAAGTATTGTAACCCTCTCTGTGTATGCATGTTGAGTGTATAACGTTGCGTACCACTAAAAGAGAAAAACCGAGCTTTAGTTCTCCAAAACAATTGCTATCCGCCTAATGATAGGTCAGACTGATTAAACGTTACTTACTCCTTTCCTGCTGTCATTGTTGGACAGGAGCTATTGGTGCAGCACTCAGAAACCACTCCAACTTGAACATTAACATGATTGAAAAACGAAAGACCTAAAGAAGGTGTAAGACCAATAACAGCAGCATTCTATGGATGTCATAATATTGTATAATTATAGTGTAACAAGTAAATTAAATCCTGCGAATTTCAAAAAGAGGCATATAGGGATGGTATAAAAAGAAAGGGAGGCAAGATAGGGATGGGATACATGAGTACAACTTTTTTAGTTCCGAGTTTTGGCTCGGTACTGGCCTTGACCAGCAGGAGTGGGGAGGGGCCTAGGCTCCAAACCACGAATGTCTGGGCATGGGCAGCACCTACCAGTGGCAAAGCCTTGTGGGGATGAATCTCATTAGTTCAGAACAACAAGCGCTGCGCTCCAGGTAGCCTTTATAAACTCGTGATGCCAGAGAGAGCAAGTTACGGTATGCTCTGCTGATGAGGGCCAACCAGCCCGAAACAGCTGTCCAGAGCTACTCCTCTTTTTTCGCTTGGCATCACATGGTCTAATATCTTCATGAATTTAAAAATACGTAAAATTAGTCAAATTTAAAATCCTGTGAATTTAAAAGAAGAGGCATATAGGGATGGTATAAAAAGAAAGGTAGACAAGATAGAGATGGAATACATGAAACATGGTTAATGGGGATATGAGCATGCTGACACCCCCCGACCCCATCACAGAATGCCTTATTGCTGCCTAGGTTAGATATTAAGGCTACAATAGGTCCTATACTATAGCTTGAATAACAACATCATTACCCTCGGCGCGCATGCGCAGTGAGGGTACTGTAGTTGTGTTTGTCTGACTGTCTGTTACTCTCAATCTCACTTCACGGGTGTTTGTTCGTCTCACAAAGGATACGACCTACTTAACGGGCAATGAAGGTCATAAATTTCGAACGGTTTTCTCTGAAAATGCTCCGTTCCAAAGCTAGAGTGCATCCGGTATTGTACGGCTAATGTCGGTAGACGCCATTTTATTGCTCCGGAAAATGCGCATGCGCTTATATTCAGCACAGGCTTACCTCCGCTTGCTCTGTGTATCTTGAAGGCACAATAAGGCACAACGAATGGCGTGTATCGACTCTCGCATGCTATCTATTGCTGTAGCTAGCCCGTGTCAGACTACTAGCGGGAGACCGCGAGTAAACGCACACTAATAGCCCAGCCCATCAATTAGCGGTACCGCGCAGTCGCCGCACTTTCATTAACCCCCGGCGCGCATGCGCAGCGAGGGTTACTGTAGTTTGTCTGTGTGTCTGTTACTCTCAATCTCACTTCTCGAGTGTTCGTTCGTCTCATAAAGGATACCACCTACTGAACGGGCAAGGAAGGTCAGAAGTCTGAAAACGCTCCTTTGCAAAGCTAGAGCGCGAAAAAGCCAAATGCAAATACACAACAGCTTACTACGGTATGATCGACCCACGTGCTCTGCGTACCTCGGAGGCACCAGAAGATGCAACGCAGGGCGTGTATCGCCTCTCGCATGTTATATAGTAGTGTAGTTAGCCCGCGTCAGACTCTGTGCGAGCTGGCAAGAGACCACGACTAAAACTAAACCCAGCCCATCAATTAGTGGTACGGCGTATGCGTTTACTTACGCGTGCGCGCCACAGTGTGCCGAGGGTTTGCACTTCAGTGCTTTTTATTATGTCTAGATTAGTTTAAGAGTGGTACACCAGGCAAAAGTATAGGGATTCTGTGATGGGATCGGGGTCAAATCTGTTCGTTAACCATGCAGGGGTTAAGCCCCCTCATAAAATTGGAATAACGCCATTGTAAATATGTGGTCGTCACGGTAATATGCATGCGTACCAAGTTTCATCTCCATGAGTGCTACTGTTGTTTGAAGAGCAAAGAAGTAACTTTATAGAAAAATGCCTGGCATATGTGGTCGTCATGGAAACAATGTAATACACATGCGTACCAAGTTTCAATGTTACCGTTACTAAGTTAGGGGAATAAAATGCCTGATGCTATTTGTTGTTGTTTTCGTCAAGGAAACAATGTAATACGCAAGCTTACTAACTTTCATCTCCATGAGATGAGTGCTACCGTTAACAAGTTTGAGAAGTTAAGAAGTAATTAAACGAAAATTGCCTGAGGCATTTTGTTGTTGTTTACAAACATGTAGGTAAACATGTAGTCATCGTGGAAACGATGTTACACGCATGCGTACCAAGTTTTACAAGTAAATAAAATTCTTCAAAATAAAAAAATGGTGAATATAGGGATGGTATTACTCCTTTGATAGGGCCCTTTCTCTCCGTTTGCATAACACTAGTGCACACTTGCATAAGTAATTCTTCCCAGTTTCACTCATGTATAATTATTACAAGTAAACAGAAGTGTGGAGTATATAGGGATGCCATAAAAAGTCAAGGAGACAAGACAGGGATGACCTAGTGAACTGTGATGCAGTAGTACGTAGAATGGATGACATACTTGGAACTGACATCGCTTGCTTATGTAAAATTTCCTCCACACAAGGTCCTATATTGTCGTAAAGTATGAGTGTATCATGTGCAGCTATGATATTTCTTAGACAGGTAATGCCCTCTCTTCAGTTTTCAGTTGTGACTGCATTGTGTGAAGTCTAAGACTTCTCTTTTACATTTGCTCAACTAACCAGTTTCACAATGCTGCGTTCTTGGCCATCCACAGAATCCCTTCACCATTGTCCTCGCAGTTTACACCATTTTACAAAACAAACTCATGCATGAGTAAAGGTGGCGAAAATATTGGGCTTGAGCGGAGGAAACTTTCCATGAGCGAGCGATGTCAGTTCGAAGTATGTATGTAGCAATCATCCATTGTACTACTGCATCACATTGTCTCCTTGCTTTTATACCATCCCTATATTCACCATTAACTTTTATCTACTTGTCTCCTTCCCTTTTTTACGGCATTCACATGCATGGCGTGCAACAGAAAGGGGATACTTGGGGCATAATGCCCATAACAAAAGTAACATTAGCTATCGCCTCAGACGTTTTGTCGCCATTCTATGTTTCTTGTGCATCAGTGCACCAAGTTTCATTGTGAGAGGACCACCATAAGGCACTAACACAATTTACGAATGTTTCTTGCCTGCGGCTGTTTGTTATTGCTCACAACCTTGTAATTTCGGTTTCAATGAACTCTTATCATGGTCAATCAATGTACCAGGTTTGATTGTTAGAGGTCGCACCATAAGCAAGTTATAGGCACAAACACAGTTTACAAGTTTTTATTGCCTGAGGCTATTTGTTGTTGTTTACAAACTATGTAGTTTCATTTGTCGATGAACTCCTATCATGGTAAACCAGTTTTCATTGTGATGGCATATAACCACCATAGCAAGTTATAGGCACCAAGTTGTATTGCCTGAGGCTGTTTGTTGTTGTTTACAAACTTGTAATCGCATTACATTTTGACATACTAACGATGGGGTACAAGTTTTTACAAAATCACTCGGGGTATTAGTGCTTTACCTACCTAGCTCTCGCACCACGTTATTGGTCCTATCGATAATGTAGTCCTGGACTATAATAAATATAACAGGTTAGCACGCGGAAGCGAGGTGTCTACGTTACATTGCATCACCCTAGCGCGGCTGTGGTAAATGATAAATCGCATATAACGGCTGGGCGGGCAGCGCGCGCGCTACCCTAACCACATGCCCCGAGGTTGCAATGTACGTTAGACACCGAGGCTATCCACGTCTACACGAGAGTCCAGACACCGAAGTATCTGATTGTGTTTGCACGCATTCTATCAAATCGGTAGCAACAAGCTAGCACAAAACGCGACGCTCATAATCTACCTCGGATGCAACAGACAGCTTTTCTGTACGTGTGAGATATTAATTGTCCACACTCCGCACCCGAGAACGCCCCTGACAGCCCCTGCGCTCAAACACAATCGTGTACTTCATCATACATAACGCTCTCCTCCTGGTATCCCCTGGTGGCTGCGCGTTTGAAAGGGTTTCAGCAACGCACGGCAAACGGCCATGTGTTTGTGTATGCGTCCAGAGCTGACAAGAAGCCTGACGCTTTTTTGTTTTCGTGAATATTGACGTGATTATCTGACTTTCGCGAGCTCCGGATGACTGTCCAACCCAGACTTCTTAGCAGTGACACCTGCGCATATGGATACAAAAGAGGCTACTTTACAAGTCGCGCTGTCCGAACGCGTGATCCGCCAAGTCCTCCTGCCAGTTTGCGCAGATTCACGACTTTGTGAGAATAGCCATTCTTGATACGACGGAGTTTGCATGTATACGCACCTGCAAACTCCATTAGACACCTGAAATCGAGGTGTCCGACGAAACATAAAAACACCTCCCTCGCAGTCTGTAATCTGATGTCTGCGATCAGTTTGCGCGCTGACGTCAGCGCGTCTAATCTTGATTTATGGTTGTTGTGTACATGCTGAACCACACCAATTGTTAAATCCCTCTGCACACGACCGTCATTGATTCCAATCTCTGTGCAAAATTCCACATAAACTGACAACAGCAACCATCGACTCCTTCTTGAATAAATCAATTGAACAATCAACAACATTCTACTACCAACAACACCGATATGACCACCCATTCTCA